TCTCCATCTCTGGAGATATTTAAGAGTAGGTTAGATAAATGTCTATCTGGGATGGTCTAGACAGTATTTGGTCCTGCCATGAGGGCAGGGGACTGGACTCGATGACCTCTCAAGGTCCCTTCCAGTCCTAGAATCTATGAATCCTGTTCCCTGTAACTCCCTCTGGGGGGGTTTCCCTTACAGCTGCTGCGATGCTGGGACTCCTCCCTGCGTTCCCCTGCCTGCTCTTCCTTTCCCTGCCGGGCCCCAGCTCTGGCTCCGATGACAACGGCACCGTGGTGCTCACCACCAGTGGCCCCATCCAGGGCAAGCGCCTCCAGGCCGGCTCCAGCACAGTGACGGCCTTCCTGGGCATCCCCTATGCTGAGCCTCCCGTGGGGGCCTTGCGCTTCCAGAAACCGCTTCCCCACCAGCCCTGGAGCCACGTCCTGGAGACCACCAGCTTCGGCAATGTCTGCCACCAGCCTCCGGTCACTGGTTACCCTCAGGCAGATGTCTGGACACCCAAAGCGCCGCAGTCCGAGGACTGCCTCTTCCTCAATGTCTGGGTGCCCCATCCCCATCCCAACGGTACGGCCCCCATCCTCGTCTGGATCCACGGTGGGGGGTTCTTCACAGGGGCAGCCTCCCTCGAGATCTATGACGGGCGCTTCTTAGCCGCCACCGAGAATGTGATCGTGGCCTCCATGAACTACCGGCTGGGGGCGCTGGGCTTCCTGTCCCTGCCCCCCGCCGCCCCGGGGAACGCCGGCCTGTGGGACCAGCGCCTGGCGCTGCACTGGCTGCAGGACAACGTGGCCGCCTTCGGAGGGGACCCGGCTCGTTTTCTGCTCTTCGGCCAGGGCACTGGGGCTGCGTCAGTCGGCTTCCATCTCCTCTCCCCGGGGAGCCGGCCCCTCTTCACCCGCGCCGTGCTGCAGAGCGGAGCCCCGAACGCACCATGGGCTTGGATTTCACTTGAAGAGGCCAAGGAGAGAGGCCAGAGATTGGGCCAGCTGCTGGGCTGCTCCGATGGTAACAGCACGGCCCTGGTGGGCTGCCTGCAGGGGAAGGAACCCAGGGAGTTCCCCAAACACGAGTTCTCCATCTTGAACCACAAGAAGGAACTGAAGCTGCCCTTTGTGCCGACACCAGACGGGGATTTCCTCCCTGATACACCACCAAGACTCCTGCAGGCCAGGCACGG